TTCTTTTTCTTTTGCTGCTTATGCTTTTGTATTAAATCTAAGAAAACATTGCCAAGTCTAAGTTATGAAAACTTACCCTGGTTTTCTTCTAAGGGTTTTGTGGTTTTAGCCCTTATGTTTAGATTGTTGATCCATTTTGAGTTAATTTTTTTTATATGGTGTGAGGTAGGGATCCAGTTTCATTCTTTTGCATGTTGATTTAGTTCTCCCAGGACCGTTTACTGAAGAGACTATTCTTTCCCTGTTGAGCAGACTTGACAACTGTATCAAAAATCAGTTGATGTTAGATGTATGGGTTTATTTCTGGACTCTTAATTCATAAGTCTTTTCTTATGGCAGAACCATACTATTTTGATTACTGTGGCTTTGTAGTAAGTTTTGAAATCAGTAAGTTGAGTCCTCCAACCTTGTTCTCCTTTTCAGTGTTGTTTTGACTATTCAAGGCCTCTTGCAATTCCATATGAATTTGAAGATCAGTTTTCCATTTTTGCCAAATAGGCTGTTGGAATTTTGTTAGGGGTTGCATTGAATCTCAATTGTTAATTATCTTTTAAAGAGATATAAATAATAAGAAACCCAAATCTTTTATATTTACCCACATAGTTAACCATTTCTAATGCTTTTCATTCTTTCTTACACATCCAGATTTCCATCTGGTATCATTTTTCTTATGCCTGAAAGATTTCATTTAACGTATCTTGTAATACAGGTCTGCTGGTGATGATTTCTTCTGCTTTTGTATATCTTTATTTCACCTGTTTGTGGGTCTGTGTTAACAGTTTTTGGTTTGTTTGGTTTTTTCAAGATGTTGCTCCACTGTTCTCTGGCTTGTGTTCTGGTAAGAAATCTGCTGTCATCCTTACTGGTGCACGTTTAGAAGTGATGTATTCTTTTTCCTCTGGCTGCTTTTAGGATTTTCTCTGTATCACTGGTTTTTAAACAATTTTATGGTTTGCCTTGGTGTATATAGCTTAGCTGCTAGTCTTTGTGGGTTTTAGTTTCCATCAACTTTGGAAAAGTTTTAGCCATTTCTTCAAATACTTTTTTCCATTCTCCCCTCTCCTCCTTTGGGGACTGTAGTTACCCATGTATTAGGCTCCATAAAGTCGTGCCACACCTCACTGATGTTCTGTTAAAAATTTTAAGTCTTTTTTTCCTCTTTTTGTTTCATTTTGGGTGGTTGTGTTGCTGTGTCTTCAAGTTCACTAATTTTCTGCATTGTGTATTATGCTGTTAATCCCATCCAGTGTATTTTTCTTCCCACACATTGTAATTTCTGTGTCTAGAAGTTTAAGTCTTTTTTTTTAATATCTTCTATGTTTCTGTTTAACATGCTCAGTCTGTCCTCTAGCTTCAAGACTTGCAATTCCATTATTATAACTGGTTTAATGTCTGTGTCTGCTAATTCTGTCACTGTGCCATTTTGAGTTTTAATTGACTTTTTTTCCTCTTTGTTATAGATTATTTTCCCAGTTTCTTTGCATGATGAGTAATTAATGGTTTAATAATGGGCTTTGTGAATTTTACCTTATTGGAAGCTAGATATCTTTGTATTTCTGTATGAGCTTTGTTCTGGGATGTAATTAAGTTGCTTGGGAAGTGTCTGATCCTTTCCAGTTGATGTTTAAGCTTTGGTATGTGGGACCAGAGCAGCATTTAATCTAGGTCTAATTTTGTCAGACTTTCTGAGTATCCTACCTGTGCTTTGTGAGTTATTAGGTTTTTCCTTCCAGCTGGTGGGAATAGGAGCTGTTTGATGGGGGTTATATGTGAATGATGGGGATTGTTACCCTGTACCTTCTGGGTGGTTCTTTCCCGACTTCGGGCGATTTCTTCACAGGCCTGCACTGACCAGTTCTCAGCTATCTTCTGTCTGCAGGTCTCGAGCCTATGCTTCCTTGTCTGCCTTGGTCTTCCAGGGGGGCCACTGTCTCTGCCTCAAGCTCCTCTTTGTGCACTATGGCAGGAAGTTTCTTCCAGGGGTGAGTGGGGTCATTGTGGAGCTCACCTGTGTCCTGCCTCACAGGGTCACTGTCTTTCATTACCTGATGTCTGGTGACTTAAAAACCATTGCTAAGTTGAAAATGGTGGCAGTGGCTGAATCCCAGCCTCTGGGCTGCTATTTGGTCCCGGCTACAGCTAGGGTAGCCTATGGTGAGCAGCGCTCATGGCGAGGAGGGCTCAGCTCACACGTGGAAGGCCCTCACCTACTTTTCATGCTCCCCAGGGTGGGAATAAGCATGCTGAATGTCTTTCTGAAGTCCCACCACAGAGAGCATGAGAGACCCGAGTTCGTTGCCAACCCCCATCATCACTCAGGCCCAAGCCCTTTCCCTGGGGAGATGGTAACCATACTCTATTTCTTAACTCTCATGTGAATCCAGCTGGCTATGAAGATGACTAAAGAGAAGCTGGACCACTACTGGGGACCACAGCACTGGTTTGGACCTTTACTCTACATGAGGACCAGAAAAGTGTCTGAGACCGTAGGCTCACTTTTAATTGTATCAAATGATGACCAATACATTGATTTTCCATCCCTTTGCTTGTGGCAGGAGGTGGCTTAAATAAATAACTTAGTCATGAAAAGGAAAAAAAAATTGCTTATTCACATAATGTTTCCAGTTTTTTTTAGTTTCACATAGAAGATAAATCCAGTTCCTGTTACTCTCGCATCTTGGCTGGAAGCAGAAGTCTCCACGTCAGTTGTTTTTGAAAAGCTGTCCAGGGTGCTGGTGGGCCCCAGGCTGGGCGTGTGGGCAGGGGCAAGGATTCTGGGTGGAGGCAGCCAGGCCTGGCAGGAACTGTGCTTCACAGCTTCTAGGTGTCACACCTCCTGTGACTCATCATTCATATGTGAAATCTGCACGTTCAGCACATTATGAGGTTTTTTGAGCCTTGGGTGTTGGCCTGTGCTGGCCAGGTTGGGTTCTTTTTGGAGGCTGAGGTCTAGCCCAGCATGTGCTCTCCAGGAGCACCGCAGACCCCCTCATCGCTGGTCGGCCGGTAGGCAGGGCTGTCTGTTTACTCACCATGGGACTAGGCTTGAAGCAGAGGCGGCTCAGGGCTGGGAGTCCTGGGCCGTGGCCGGGCTCACAGTGGGCTTGCCCTCATCTGCCTGAGGAGGCCAGCCCAGGATAGGGTAGGTGCTGTGTGGACTTGACAGTTTGTGATTTGGTCTTCCCACTGGTGCCAGGAAGAAGGAGGAGAACAGCAACAGGAATTAGAGTTGAGCTGATTTGGATTGAAAAGAAAGTCGAAAACTGGAGTTTTTCTGGTGGCTTTCACAGAGCAGGCATTATGTTGGTTAAGGGGAGAGCTTGGTTCCACCTGGCACAGGGGCAGCAGTATGGGTGACATAGTACTCCTGTGCCTCAGCAGAGGATCCGCACCAGGGGAGGGGTGGTCTGGGACACACTTGGAGCTGCTCCTCCCCACCCCCCAACTTCAAATGCAGTCAGCACTGTGAAGGCGCTGGCATTTCTTACAGTATCTGTTCAGTCCTATTTTTTCCAAGCTCTTTTGTTCAAGGAACTTTTCCTCCACTAACACTATTTCACACACTGTAACACGTGTTGTTACGTAAAGTCTGTCAGCCCCTTCCTATGCCCGGGGCTCCCCGCAAACCACTGGGTTTCCTGAGCCCTTTAGCAGTCGCATAGGATTCTGTTGTTAAGACAAGACCGTGATTTACTTAACCAATCCCCTATTGGTGGAGAAATGAGTTGCTTTCTATTTTTTTGTTTTTTGATATGATAAAAAGTCCTGCTCAGTAAACATCCTTGTGCATACCTTTGCACTCCCCCCACCCCATAATTGTCTTGGACTAAATTCCTAAACTTAACATTACAGAGTAAATATGTGAAATTGTTGCTATTTCTCTCAAGAAAAGATAAAAAGGCGTTCATTTTCCTGTTCTTCAGCACCCCTCTCCTGTGTTCCTTCTGTGAACCAGGACCCTTGCAAAGAGAAAGCAGGAGTTAGAACAAGGGCAGACCCCTCTGCCTCTGCCTGTGGGGTAGTTGTGGTGGGCCAGCACACTCTCTGAGCCCCATCGGTGGAATGGGAGGATTCGGCAGAGCCACAGGCCCTGGTGGTCATCTCTCCGCCCGGCAGCCTCTGGCTCGGTGAGGTGTTGTGGACAGCAGCTGCAGGCCTGAGGAAGGGCAGCTTTGCAGAGCACTCCAGACGAAAACTAGAAACGGGTGAGGTGGGGGAGCAAGAGTCTTCTTCAGACAGAGAGCCCTCGTGTGCAGAGAGCCAGGGCGGGGCACGGGCCTCACACTCAGGATGGCACTTTAGCCTAGAGCAGTGGAAGCTGTCAGGCATGCTTGGCTCTGCAAGGCTGAACCTACTGCGTCAGCCCCTGGTTTACCACCTACACTCAGCCTGGCTCCCAGATGGGCTTGATGGATGTGATCACGTGAATGAGGCGGGACGAGCCCTAGGGGGTGCTGTGGGGTGGGCTGCCAGCAGGCTCTGTTGTCACCCACTGAGTGATAGTGGCTGCGTTCAGGAGGAGAGCAAGGGACTAGATGATGGCTGTTGGGATGAGGCCCAGTCAGCATTCACTCCTGTGGGCACAAAAGCTTGCTGCTCAGGTATCACTCTGGTATTTCAAGTTTATTTTTTATTACAGTCAAACACACTAACCCCATGTCCAGCTTAGTGGAGTTTACATGTGTATACACCCACATAAGCCCTTCAGTCCACCAGGGTCCTCTTGCCCACTTTCACTTAAGCCCTCTCCCTGCCGCCACCATGCCCCCAGGTAACCACGCTCTGATTTCCCTGGCTGTTGGCGAGTCGTGCTTTCCGTGGCTTTTGTGTCTGTGCGGTTGCACAGCGTCAGCTTGTGCCCTTGTGCTGGCTCCTCTTGTTCAGTGTGGTGTCCAAGGGTCACCATGTGCTTGCAAACCTCAGGAGTTGTCCGTTTGGGTCTTGGCTGCCCTGTGGCTCCAGGATACCTTTCTCATGAGTGTCTATGTCTCCCAACCCAGGCGTTTGGACAGGCACACACGAACCACAAGAAGGTGGCGGCAGATGGTGAGAGCCGGGAGGAGAGTCTGATCCAGGAGTCGGCCTCCAAGGAGCAGTACTACGTGAGGAAGGTGCTGGAGCTGCAGACGGAGCTGAAGCAGCTGCGCAACATCCTCACCAACACCCAATCGGAGAACGAGCGGCTCACCTCCGTGGCCCAGGAGCTGAAGGAGGTGAGGGGTGGTGAGGGCTGGGGCAGTGGTCTATTGTTCCAGCATTACTGTGTAGCCCACTGCCCTGCTCACTGTGCCTGAAAACAGCAGTATTTATGATTACCCAGGAGCACAGAGCGGAGTGGCTCCGTGGGCCGGGCTGGGCTCATGTGTCTGGGGCAGCACCTCATCCAGGGTGGCTCAGCTGGGACGTTCTCTTGCTTCACATGCTCTCTCGTCCTCTAGCAGGTCTCACTTTGATAGAGGCAGAGGACCAAGGAGAGGCACATGGCATTTTTCAAACCTCTACTTGCATTTGGAGTGCTGCTATCTCATTGGTCAAAGCAAGTCCCACAAGCAAGCCCAGTGCTCACACAGGCCAGGTGGCAAGACTATAGGACAAAGGGCAAGGGCACAGGGGACTGTTGCTTGGCAGCCATGCAGTCAGCCCCCCTAGGGGCACCTCAGGTCAGCGTTCCCTTTCACTGTCATCGCACCCTTCTGTCCATGGGGGATGTTCTTTCTCACTCGACACTGTGCCTACCCAGGCCCGACTGTAAGAAAACAAACCCAGATGCTCCATGAAGTTAAGGTAGGATGGATGTGTCTGAGAATTAGTGCCTAAGAAGACAGATTTTGGGGGTTCCTCACCCCCAGTTGTCCCAGCTGGCCATGCCTCAGGCACACCTGGCAGAGCAGAGTACGGCACCATGTCCTAGGCCCACCTGTGGGCAGGCAGGCAGGGTGGAGGGGTGGCCTTGGGCAGCGTTGACTCTGCACTGGAGCAGTATGGGTCTGGGCTCCCAGTGTCACATCTGGAGAGGGAACTGTTGTGCCCACGTCCTCCAATTTGTGAGGGTGAAGCAAGAGCACGCATGTGAGCCTTAGCACAGCCTGTGACAGCCAGTGGCCATTCCTGCCCTCTGGGTCCTGCACCGTGTGCCCAGGCCCCAGGAGCTGGCCTTCTAGTGGGGGTAGGAAGAAGACAACCCAATAATGAGTCCACAGGGCATGTGGGAGGTGGGCATGGACTGTCTGGGTGAGCTGGGGTAACGGAGCCAGCTCCTAGGGCAGCACCAGTGTCTAGGGTGTGAGGGGCCTAACAGGAGACAGCTGCACTCATTTAGGGTGGACGGCTCCTGCAGGGCCTCATAGGACACAGTCAGGACGTTGACTTCTCTCTCAGAGGGATGGGTGTGGGCGGGCTCCACACAGAGCTGGAACCGGCTGCCACATGGGGAACAGGCTGTGGGAGCCAGGGTGGAGGCAGGGAGGTCAGTGAGGAGGCAGCCCCCACATCGTCCAGATGAGAGGCCTGCAGTAGAGGTGGCATCAAGAAAGGGGCTGAGCACCTGAGGGGTAGAGCTGCCATCACCAGTGTGTGCTGGGACAGCCACAGGGTAGGTAGCAGGGGACACCAGGTGTGCCCACATGGGTGCAGTCCTGACTGTAAGCCCCCGGTTCTGCTTGGGAAGAGGGTATGTCACACCCATCTGCAGGACTGCCAACCAAAATCAACCATGTTGGGGTGTGCGGCAGCTCGTGCGGGAGGAGTGGGGTGCAGGCATGCCCTGGCCAGATGTCCCTCCTATTTGACCACTCTGTCCTGTTGGCACCACACTCCTGGGTCCAGCTGGGGTGGGCGGGCTCCTGATGAGGGTGAGGCTGTAGAACTGAGGCCTGGGCATGGCATTATCTTCAGTCCAGCCTCAGTTTCCCCATCTGTAAAACGATGGTCCCTGAATCCTCTGGTAGTGGGGACACTGTGGTTCATGACTTCTAGAGGTCAGGCCTTGGTGGGGTGGTTCTGAGCAGGGACCAGTGCCCTGAGACCAGTGAACAAAGGCCAGGAGGCTGGAGGTGAGTGGGGGCCGTGTCCAGGGGAGCTGGCACCTCAGCAGGGTAGGAGTGGCTGGGGAGGGGCTTGGATTGAATTCCAAAACCAAACTCACTGCCATAGAGTTGATTCCAACTCATAGCGACCCTATAGGACAGAGCAGAAATGCCCCATAGAGTTTCCAAGGAGTAGCTGGTGGATTTGAACTGCTGGCCTTTTGGTTAGCAGCTGAACGCTTAACCACTGCGCCACTAGGACTCCGGATTGAATTCCAAGGGGGTGGGAAGCCTTAAGAGACCTCTGGAAGGGCATGGCATGATCTCTTTTCCTTTTCAAAGATCCCTCTGACATAGGGTGGGTGTAGGGGCGGGGAGACACAGCTACAGCAGCCTGGAGGGCCAGTTCTCCCTGGGTGGAAGCCAGGAGACAGCTGGGTGACAGGCTGGCTGGAAATGAGCTCAGCTAGTCCCACAAGCACTGAAACTTCTGTGGCACTTTTCTCTAAGCACATGCAATAGGCATTGCTGCTGGTGGCTAGCGAGGAAGGGGCCCACACTCTGGCTTCACTCTGCTGGTGCCCTTGGCCCTCCCCTCCCCTGGCTTCTGTTGCCAGTCTCCCCGCCTGGCATAGAGTGGGCACCATGGTAGTTCTCAGTCCCCAGAAACCTGGCTGGGTAGTGTCCACCGAGCACGGAGAGCGGGTCTGGGTGCTATGGCTGCAGCATCACTCCTGTCCCTTGGCCCCCTGGGAGCCATCAGCTCTCATGGGCCCCATTCTCTCTGGTGAGACCTCAGTGTCCACTGGGGCACAGGCTGTGGCCTCCCTGCCCAGCGTGTCTTCTCCTTTCTGAGAGAGCAGACGCCAGCTCCAGTTTCCCCAAGTGGCAGCCCCTAGCACCTGCTCCAGGGTGGATGCTAGTTCACACCTGCCACGTCCCCTGGGAAGGCCCTGTGAGGCCTGTGTTGCCTGTGCTGTGCAGGGAAAACCTCACAGACCTGACTTGGGGCAAGTGGCCAACACAGCGTCGGCACAGCACCCCCTCCCTCCTGCACCAGGCCTGCCCGCCTTGCCTTGGGGTGTTCCTTGTTGGTGAGCTGGAATCCGTGAGCATGCATTTGCTGACTGGCCTGGGCTGCACTGTGGCCCACCCAGGGTGGCAGCCTGCATAGCACTGACACATAGCAGGTGCTCAGTGAGTACCTCACAGGGGCAGGGCCCTCAGACTTTCCTGTGGCGAGAGCGTTGGATTCCTAGGCTCTTCCTTAGAAATCTGATTTGGTAGCTTGGGTGGGCCTGGGAATCTACAGTTGTCGATCACACCCTGCTGCTGCTCATCGTATTACCTCTGTGGCCCCCACCCATGCAGGCCTGTGAAACTTATGTGGGTCTCACTGACATGACGATTACCTGGGGGGGGCCTCTTGTTTCCCTGCCCACAGAAGAGGCCCAGCCTGGAGTGTGAGCAGCACACTGGAATAGGGGCATGGCCTGAAGTAGGGGCACGAGCAAGTAAGCAGGAGCCCTCAGGATGCAGGACGCCCTGGCAGCCTCACTGCAGCTCACTCCTGCCTGCTGGGCCCGTGCTCTAGGCCCAAACCTAGAGAACTGGGCCTCCTCTTTCTCTGTCCACCTCAGGGCATTTGTTTTTCACAGGGCCTTCTACAGGGACGGGGAGCCCTGGTGGTGCAGTGGTTAAGAGCTCAGGCTGTTAACCAAAAGGTCAGCAATTTGAATCCACCAGCTGCTCCTTGGAAACCCTGTGGGGCAGTTCTACTCTGTCCTACAGCGTCACCATGAGTTGGAATTGACTTGACAGCAACAATTTTCTACAGGGACGAGGACCTCGTTTGGTCCATGGTAAACCTCTCATGTCCTGTCCCCCTCCCCCCATGTCCTCACGCCATGGCAGGGGGAGTCCAGCGGGGGGATGGTCCACGTGCTTGTCTGCACAGTGCGGGCGCCTCACCCCTGCCCCCATGCTGAGTGGTGGTGCTGTGAACACATTGGCCACTCTCTTATTTATAGTCATCCATTGGCTTTCCCCTGGGCTGTTTCCCACAAAGAGATGGCTGGATTAGAAGTTATGTGCACAACTTTGTGAGGGGTTTCCAGCTGCCACTCAGATGAGTGGAAGCAAGTTATATATATTTCCTTACATTGCCACCCACGTGACTTGGCGTTTTTATTTATCTTTTCCTGTTTTAACAGGAGTTTTGATTTCCTGGTGAGCCTTGCTCTTATCTAATTGGTAACTTGGTGGCTTGGTCTCCTCTGGTATAAGCTCTCTGAGTCATTTAATGAGAGGACTGCATTCATCAGCAATGCCTGCTATACTGAATTATTCTCCCTTCTCTCTGTTGCTTTCCTTTTTTTTGGTCCTGTTTTGTCAATCCAACATTACTATTTGCTGTGTATTTGCATAGACTCTTGGACTCTTGTCTACTAAGAATGTGCCGTTCAGATGAGGACAAAAGATATGATCATGGGTAACTTTAGTGTCCTGGGAGATGAGGACAGAGAGATTTGTGGGACCCAGAGGACAGTGCTTCCAGCCAAGGGGGCTGTGAGGGCTTCAGAGTGGTGGTGGCAGTGATCTTGGGCAGCCAGATCCTTGCAGATAGGTAGAGACTATTTGAGGCAGTGGGAACAGGGGCAGAAAGGGAGAAGGATGGAAAGTTTGTCCAGGGGTTGCTATTGCCCCCAGGGGACATTTCGCAGTGCTTGGAGACACTTCTGGTTGTCAAAGAATTGTTGTTAGGTGCCATCGACTCAGTTCCAACTCAGAGCAACCCTGTGTACAACAGAATGAAACACTGCGCAGTCCTGCGCCATTCTTACAGTCATTGCTGTGCTTGAGCCGGTCGTTGCAGCCATTGTGTCAGTCCATCTTGTTGAGAGTCTTCCTCTTTTTTGCTGACCTTCTACCTTACCAAGCATGATATCCTTCTCCAGGAACTGGTCCCTCCCGATAACACGTACAAAATGTGTGAGATGAAGTCTCGCCATCCTTGCTTCTGAGGAGCATTCTGGCTGCACTTGTTTCAACACATTGTTCATTCTTGTGGCAGTCAACGGTGTATTCAATATTCTTTGCCAACGCCATAATTCAAAGGTGTCAGTTCTTCTTTGGTCTTCCTTATTCATTGTCCGGCTTTCGTGTACATATGAGGTGATTGAAAACACCATGACTTGAGTCAGGTGCACGTTAGTCCTCAGAGTGACATCTTTGCTTTTCAGCATTTTAAAGAGGTCTTTTGCACTACCTTTGCCCAATGCAATACGTCGTTTGATTTCTTGACTGCTGCTTCCATGGGCATTGATTGTGGATCCAAGT